GAGAGAGAGAGAGATGGATAGAGTGAGAGAGGGGAGAGAGGGAGGGGAAGGAACGGCCGTGTTATACCGTTGCGCGAGAGCAGCCACTTCAACGTCGGTCTTAACGAGCTGCATCGCGTACGTGTGCGATATAATGGCGACGAATTTAGTGGAATTGCACGCGGCATTGCGAGCTGAGTCTTTGTAATCCATAAATTCGCTAATAATTAATAAGAGGCGCGCGGCGAGGCTGGCCCGCGTCGACACCGCCGCGAGATGTACATTAGAGGGATTTCTTCGACGCGCGTGTGCTTCGCGTTACAAAATAATGCAAAAGTGAGGAGAAGTGGTAGGATGCGAGGGAGTTAATACCTGAAATTGTATACTGCTCGGCAAGATGAAATTATGCATTATTCTGGTGCTTCGCTCCGTGTTATATATACGACACAGAGCGATCTTTCTTCGAAGGTGCTGGCGGTGTTAAGGACTACGTATACTCTACATAGCAAAAGAATAAATACATAGATATGCGTCACGGCTGAGCGTCACACTTTAAATATATTTTTAAGAATATATATATTTATGCAATTGAAATGCATAATTGTTTATTATAAATTTTTATCTTTTGAGTAAAATTTTCAAAAGTCTTTATCTCATTAGGGTACTCCTTTGAACATTTGCAACAGTATTTTGTATTATTCTAAAATGAAATTTTCGAGTTAATTAGTAATTTATATTTTCTTCCGCTTTTCATTTTAAAATGACATTTTTTGCACAGCCGTGACGTGCACAAGGTAAGTGAAAAGTACAATTATTATACCAAATATATACGAGAAATTTGGCGTCTACCGTACGTAAAGCTAACGAATAGTGCGTTGCGCTACGCCTTATTTAATATTACATTGTATTTTTGTACAAAAATAATCCATCACGTCAGTCTGTGCCTGGGGAAGCTCTCTTGTCGCGTGGCAGTCCTTCGATACGTTACAATCCTTTGGGTTACAAGATTTTCGTTTCGAAGCGTCTTGGAAGTAGAAATCCGTAAAGTTCGAAGCCCGTCCGATCTGCTTCCATCGTTCCGTACGAGAGCTTCCGCCGCAACTTTTGCAACATTCTCTTTCTCAGACGGGGAAAATACCAGCGCGGAATCGGGATTTCTCGTTCAATTTGTGAACCACCGACGACCGGAATGCAATTTCGTTTCACTGAAAGAAAGTACGCACGATACAAGCTCGGTTCGTAGATCATTCGGTAAAAGTGACGTAACAACGTCACCCCAAAATATCTAGGAGATATTTGAGGAGCTGAATGGACGAAAGGAGGGCAAGCATGAAAAAAATGATTTGAGAACGTGCCAAACTCGTGACATCTGCAGCAGAGCGTTGATGAAAATGTTTGACGAAAATAAATTGTTCATACGAGTGAAGCGATCCTTCATTTGTCAACTAATTTTCTTGATTGAATACGATTATTAATTGTATAAGAAAAAATTATTATATAGACAAAACTGTGAGAACAATTTGATACACAAGAAAGGATTTAGGATGATAAATTATTTTAATAAAATTGTTTTTACATATAATGAAATATATGAAATACATTAGTCATTAGGTTTTTTTGTTTAATTATAGTTTTTATCATTGGTAAACGACCAAAAAAAAAAACTACACTTTAAATCCGATAAATTTAGAAAACATACGTACGATTCCGTTTATGTCTCGATGCCGTTGAAAGTTCCGATATTTTGCATGGTGTCCGTTTGATTTTTCGTCTTGGACAAAAATAGACATCGATAGATCACAGCTGAGATAATGGCGCCTCCGATCGGTCCTAACCAGTACACCCAGTGGGCGTTCCAGGACATGTTCCAGAGTGCTGGTCCGAACGTTCTAGCAGGGTTCAGGCTGCAACCGGTGTGAGGGATGAAAGCGAGACACAGCACGGTAACGCAAAGGCCGAATTTCAGCGCGGTCGAGTCGGTGTTCTTCGCATTTCGCGAGTCCCAACTTCCGCAGGCGAAGAAAGCGAGTATGCCGGTAGCGAAAGCCTCAGCCGCGATTCCATGACCGACACCCAGATTGCCGTTAATTTGCGTCACGCAGAAATTTCTGGTCTCTGAATCACCGCCATGCACAAGATGCGGCGGCGTTATCGCCTGTCAGTTGGAATTGAAAAACAACTCAGCTTGAATCAAATAATTAAATAAAATGAAAGGTAAATTTCACTGGATATTTTGCGCGCACTCGCAAGACTCGCTCGTTGTTTTGTACAAGCGTAAGGAATAATTCGATTAAAATTCACTTATGATAATACGAGATCCTAACATTTTAGATGTTGCAATTAACGAACATGGAGATAATCTTTTATCTTTAGGAGCAAACGGGTACTCGATGCGGATAAAAATAATCTTGATGTTTGTAACTGTGAGATAACGCGATTTTTGATAACGCTTTTATATAAACGTGAACGTGTCGTCAGCAATTTGTCGCGCCGAAATAATCCTCTTAAGTGTTATCCGCCGAAATGTAATCGGAATGTGTCTTTTTTAATCTGTAAAATGAATATATGCGTATTTATTGACCTTTAGTAGACCGAAACCTAAAAGGCTGCCCAAACATTGTGCGATGATATAATATCCGGCCATTAGAAAAGTTTTTTTGCCAAGAATTACCGCGGCGACTGTAACAGCGGGATTGAGGTGAGCGCCACTGATATGGCCAACACACTGAAAAAAAAAAAACAACAAATATGTATTTAATCAGCAATAAGATTTGATAATGTTAAGTGGCAGCATCCAGCATAATGTTACTTAAAAATATTTGTCTCTATACGTATTAATTTTACTATAAGTAATATTATATATATAAGACGTATCTTATATATTTAATTTATTATATATATATATATATATATATATATATTAAATATATAAAATATATTAATTATTAATATATTATTGTGTTAAAATATAGGATAGGCAAAATTAACATAGATTACGTGAAATGAAAAAGGAAATATTTGCGTATAAGCAAATGATAATAAAATATATTAAAAAGTTGATCAGCGCACTAGCCCAAAGCGATTATCATTATCAATAACAGATTGTCAGAGTGATTTGTATACCTGTATAGCGACCATAACAGCGAGACCGAAGGCAAAGGAAATTTGTATAGTCGATGGTCCAATCCCAAGGGTATACGGCTTCATACTGCCCAAGCATGCCATACATCCCAGAAAGATTAGAATTGCTGTTCCAATCAATTCTCCCAGGATAGTTAGAAATTTGTCCCAACATGTACCATCTTCCTCCGTCTTCTTTAGCCCTGAGATAGGAACGGTAAACTTCATCTTTAGCGTGTGAATAATTTTGCACGATCAACGCGTTGTGTTCATCATAGCAAGGACATATTTCTAATATTAAATTGAAATTTATAGATTCAACTTTTCTCGTGGAAGAGATAAATGCCGAGATAATCTGTAATCATGACATGATAATCTGTAATCATTCCCGATAAAAAGCGTGTCGTCCAATTGCAAAAGGTATATCGAATCCATCCATACCGAAATATCTCTGATGAGTGATAATATAATAATCCTGGGAAAGTAATTTGTTTATATTATTTATTTAAATTTGGCAAGTTCTATTAAACGATAAGTCACCGAAATAAATCATAAGGCTTGAAAAGGCGATGAATTAGAATTGCGAAATTGAAACGACTAATTTACGACGAGATATTCGCAAGATTCTCGCAACGAGTTAAATAAAACGCTACTTTGTGTTATGACTTTGCCGCTGGAACGCACGTCGCTCTCGTGCCTTTGTGAAAAAGTATGTGAAAACTTGCGTTCTCATTACTGGTTTGGTCTCGTAAACGTGTGCGCCAGCAGCGATATTTAATTAAAAGGCAACCATTGCGCTCGCCACACAAACAAGGAATCCAACAATGGCGTGCGCATCTTTATTTCTGCGCATTACGCGAGCCGAAGCCATATCCACTGTATGCATAATCAAGAGAAATCAAGACACAAAGATTCGTTCTTGAATATAACCACGTAACGATGATCTTTCGTTTTTGTAAAGATAAGTAACGTACAATACATTCATATACACACACACACACACACACATAAATGCACGTATTCAAATCGCCAACCGTGACCTATGCGCAGGTCTCTTGAATCATTAGTGTGAAAATGAGAGTAAAAAGCGAAACGTGGTTTCTCTCTTCAGCTATATTTTTATTTCAAGATACAAACGCGTATTAAAATAAAGATTATTCTACCTTGTTAATTTTATATTTGAAGAGAGAATATCTGAATATCTTTTTTTCCAAATAATAACTTTTTCAAAATTATCGCTATTAAAATATAGTAGAGTTTTCCAGGAATATTTATAGTATAAAAATTAATCCAAAATTAATTTAATTTTTTTAAATGTTTTTTAAATGTTTTTTAATGTTTTTAAATTAATTTCTGTTAAATGAGTGAGATATTTAAGCAAAGTTGCTTGTCTTAAAATTTCGGTATTTAAAACTTATAATGTTTTTAGATTAAGTTTTTGTTTGATGAAATTGTCGATTCTTTAATGAATTCCAAAAGTAATAATAGTGTTCGGTGGAGAAGCGTTTTTGGATCGACAGGCAGGATAACTTGGACTGCCACTTTGTTGTAAACTTTCGAGTGGAAACTTTGTTCGCTCCACGTCGAATGCGATTACCACTGGTATAAACCTGAGGTGGAATGGGTCAACGTTGAATTTACATGAAAGCATCGGTAAAGTTATGCACATCGGAGGTCGATGTTCGAGTTAGTCTAGCGTTGTTGAGAACGCCGGACTTCGATAAGTATCTTTCATTGAATATCGTCCCATTGAACTCTTCCTGTTTTCTTTTTTTTTCTCGACAAGATGCTGCACTGTTTCTTTCGACAAAATTTTCTCGATGTAATTCTCGCGAGAGCCAACGTGTGTAAAATTTTCACAGGAAAAGGCACTGGAGGGCATTGAAATTTTCACATGAGAAGCCGAAAGTTGAACCGCATTACGGTTTACAGCAATTAAATTAAAGTACGCCTTTTGACCATGCTTGTTATCGTAATGCTCATCATTTTGCTCATATTATTTGCTCTACATAACTTTTATTTATTTCGTTTCGCGTATTTTAATCCAGCTTTGAAACGCTAGAATTAAATTATATTTCAGTAAAAAAATGTTCCTTTATCCTCATTTTTTGATTGCGCGTGGCATTTTAATATTAATACGAATTATATCAAACTTATCATGAATTGGGTAATAATCTCGGGTCAATATTTCATCTTTCAGACGCCAAAGAAAAATTATTATAACATCCAAGTAATCTACTGTCAATGGTCAAGACTCTGCGATATTTCTTTTCGCCATTCGGCGATAATTTTGCAACTTTTATTCATTGATGTATTAATAAAACTCTGTTAAATTGTCAAAAATATTGAATATATAAAATATTAAATACGTTTTTGACAATTTTATAAAGTAATTTTATATCATTTTAAATTATTTTATAACATTTTAAATTTACAAATACGTACAGAGAGTTTACTTGTCTCTTAATTAATAATCTGTCTAATGTGATTGAACGATGATAATTTTTTTAGATCTATTTCTCCATTTCACTAACATTTAACATTTAACATTTAACATTTTTGCACTTTGCACATTCTTATTTAATTATTATAAAAAAATATTGAATCGTCTGAACATATCTGAAAATAAATAATTTCTGTTTTATTTCACAACTAATTCAGCGAAAGTATTTGCCTTATATGCCAAATATAAAATGCGATTATTCAGAATTATTTATTTATTTATTTAGAAAAAAGCAAATATTAATTTAATCAAACGATGTTTTCATCGATTTAATGAAATACCTTGTGAAAAAATATACGCGCAATTACTTAATAGTTTGCTGTTAATTAATTTATATAATGGGCGAACATAATATTCATTCATTTACTCTTTGAAATCGAAAGTTGATTAATATTAAAAGTCTTTTTTGCGATAAAAAAACATCATAATTCATAAATATGCATATCATCTTCCAGGAAGATGGTAATTATTATATGATATAACGTAATAATCTACATCGATCTTTTTATGGAATATTATAGAAAAAAAAAAAAAAACTAATCGCGATGAAAATCAAAGCTGAATTTTATAAAGCGGAGGATTTCTGCAAATCTCCATTTTTCAACATGCAAGAGACGCGATTCGGCGTATCGCTATTCCGTCCAATACCTTGCGAGAAAAATACTTGCATGTTAATCCATAGTTGCCGCGTGGAACATCCGCATTGTGTTTCATTCGTGTTTTGCATTTCCTGAACGGATCATTCAGATCCGTCATGCACTGCGCTCGCCCCGACTTCCATTCATATGATATTCATAACTTCGCATACGGATGTCAATATCCTTCGGGTTTAATCGCGCTTATGCATATACATATCCGCCTGCGCTTCTGAACTATGCATAGAGATGCCAAAGCACGTTTGCCCTAGAATTACGGCCGAGTTCTCGTGATTAACCGTGTGTCGCGCGGATATAATTAGAAGCGAACACGTGTCACGTATGGTTTCCATTAACACACAGACTCGCTGTGACACAGACCGGGACCGGGATAGTGATCAGTCATCGACACTCGCGGATTAGCCGCGGGTATCGATACGATAGCGGAAACGCAATCCAATGTACTCCGAAGCCGTTTCAAAGTCGCACGTTTATCCTCTTAAAAATGGATACTCCAAATCGTATTGATTACGGAATGTGTATACTTGGAAGTAGATACTCGACTTATTTTTGCGAGATAAAGCGAATAGCCACGAAACGGTGGCATAAGTCCGTATTATCTCGTTCTCTTGAGGTAAAAATATTTGTAATAAACAAAAATTCAAAGTCCATCTATTTAATTCCAGAACGCGTATTATAAGGAAAGAAAAATTATCATTTTTTTTTTTATCGCAATCTAATCTAATTGTAAACATCGGTTGAATTTATATGTGAGAGCGTCAATGTTGCAAATAAACTAACAACTGGTTACTTTTTCCAAGTTTTGCATTTGTGCATAATCTTCATTTGCAAAGCCTCACTTAGGCTAAAGAAAGTGCAAAATGTAGTCACGTAATATAGAAACTTTCTTTTCCACTTATTTTTATTCATTATATTTAGCCAAAGTGTAGCTCATATTTATGTTTATATTTTTATTTGTATTATCGAAGATTACGGAAGAAGTAATTCATAAAAGTCGACCGGCCGGCAATTAATCGACATAAAGAAATTAGAACGTGCAGCTTCACGAGCTCTCTTAACGTTTCGCTAATTTATCGCCGGTTAATGATCCGATGGTCGTAAAGATGGTAAAATTCTGGCGGAATAAAGTGTAGAAAGCCATTGCGCGCGTGTTGTACATTAGGACCAAGTAGAAACTTGTGAGGAAAACACATGCGATCGCGCCTCGAGGCACACGGCACATATATCTATATTCACGGAAATATATCTTCGACCGGAGAGACGTGCACTTTCCACGTAACTTGGACGCGGGCATATCTCTAATCGCTAATTAAAAAACCAAACTACGACGTAGGAGAGCGGAGGCTGACGGAGGTAATTAGCAGGAAAGTACGAGAGCGTAATTACGGGGGGATCGCGAAAGTAATCAACAATTATGTTTCGCCGGGTGAAATGTGTATCTTGTATCCTCTCCGCTTCATCTTCAGTATCATCTTTTTATTTTTAACGGGGTTAAAGCTGACTGTGTAATTTGATAGAATTAGAACACGAAGAAATTGGAGGCTCGTGTGGAAGTCGAGCGAGATCAATCTGCCGAGGAGAAAGAAAAGTTCGCGAATCAAATGATCAAGGGACGCGCATTTGTCCGCGAAATTCGCTTTCATCGATGCACCATCTACGGTATCTCTCGTATAAATGTAAATTAATGCTTCTCTCTGATGGCTGGAAAATTCTCATCAGTATACCGACTATCACGTATGAGTTTACCAGCTACCGATCCAGCACGTGGAGAGACAGCAGAGATCTACCGTATCGCGACTGGCAGCGAATTGATAAAGCAGCAGTTACACGTTTCGTCACATGAACATCGGGATGTTCATGTATTCCTGTTATTTTTATGAGTTGCTTATTGTGAAACCATCGCACAAAAAGTTCAGATAACGCGGTATCAGTTCTGAAATATTATATATTATTTTACTAATTAAACGATATCAAGTAATATCGAAATTAATTATAAATAACTGTTTGTTATAATTGTAGATTAATAATTATAATAATTTTTTCAGAAAAACTCGAAAATAATGATCTCGTAAAGAAAATATTTCGAGTTTGGATTCAATAAATAACTTTTTTGGCGTGTAAATTGGCCTCATTAGCGATCTGTTTTGCCGTTAATTTTCCGTAATGCGCTAGATAGTATAGAGTTGCGTTTCATAACAAAATAGGATTGTGAGCAGGCAATTTATTTCGATGATTCGCCACGGAAAAGTATCCGAGAATTACCAGCGTACCGCAAATTTCAATGATCTCCACAGCAATGGTAAACGAGCAGTGAAATTTCCATAAATCAATTGCACTGAAAAGGTAGAAAGCTAGTTTTTTCTCGTGGCGCATCAACGCATCGCACGACGACGAACAAAAGCATGCCTCGTGCGTTCGTAATACAAGAATTTCTTCGCACAGGGATTTAAGAAAAAATTCACACGTGCGCACATGCGTGACCTCGTTGAAAAAAAAAGCGATGTTCCTAATAATATATATGTCACGGTGTGTGCAAATGTGTCAACGTGAGGGAAAAATAGCGTTTGTACAACTGGCTGCAATCGATATTAATAAAACGATAAGATAACGCGGGTGTGTCATTAATTATTTTTTACGTCGTTACATACAGACATGCATTTAAAAATAACGCCGTTAATTTAAATAACGTTCTGTTTGACACGTTAAACTCACAACAGTTCGCACAGTTCGCTTCATTTAACGATTCACGTTACGTCGGCAAACACAGTTGCCTACGTCACTCGCACACTTATGGAAAGATACTTTCTTCCGTTCCACGATAATCTGAATACGCAATAAATATAAATATAAATTTTAGTACATTAGATCGCGATTGTTTTAATTACCAATTTCGTTGCGCGCTGTGTTCCGTTAATTAACCGATGTTAATAAACCTTCCGAACTTCAGCCAAAGTTACGTGTGACTGTACCTGAAGCATAATTAGAATTTGTAATTGCGCTCGTCATAATTTGCTAATTAGCATGGATAAGGTGTTTTACTAATTAAGGTAATCAGATTTCCGATTCATTCACTAATGGAACCTGTTAAACTTTCGGCCGATGGGGGTCGATCGGGAATTAGTTGTGAAAATCGCTCGATGTGAAAAGGGGGGCATATTTATGTGACGACGCTACGATACGACATCGCACACATTCATCGCTATTACGTGTGAAAGTACTGAAAATCCGCACCTCTGACCAAGTAACATTTGCTAATGGCCGGCCGCACGGCTGGGCTCGATGAGATGGCCCGAACGTTATGTAATACGGAATGCATGTCCGTTTTGTGTAACACGGCTTTATATGACGTTAAGGCATATACCTTGTCAATCTGCGAACGCACTTGCGTCGCGCGATGCGCAACGTTATTCACGCAGGATTCCGGCTGTGAAATACGACCGAAACGATACCGTGGCGTGGTTCATCGCGTGAAATACGACCGACCATGCGAACGAGCTACAACGATCTGTTGTTACACAATCTGGCACGATCTTCTCGCAGCTCGATGAATCCACGGTATCGAGTGAAGTTAATTTTTACAGCTCTTTTAAATGATCGAGAGATGACAGATAAATCATGCGGACATATCTTTTTTTGAAAAATGGGAAAAGGGCTGTATCGATCCTGTAATTTACGAAATAAATGCTTGGATAGAACTGCGTTACTTTATTATATTAATAATTAATAATTAGCAAGTCATATACACAGAAAAAAATTAAATGAAATATATTCTTACATATATAAAATGAGAATATTAAAATCTTTCTAAAATTTTGGTCTTGATTTGATTGAATTTATTTCATCGATGCAAATATTACTTTTACTCAATTCAAGATTAAAAATCTTCTATATATAAAGATCATAATATTCTTGCTTAGATATGAGAATATATAATCTCGATTTAAGACTAATTTCCTTCTGTGTACATTTTAAAAAGTTTTTCCGAAATAAAATTAAAGAAGAAACCTAGACTTTCGTAATCCTATTAAAGTGACTCGAGCACTTTGATTTCAGAAGGATATAATAATTCTCAGACGCGCCTCGCATGAGCGTTGACCTATTCCAGAAAACGTCAACATCATTTACCCGTTCTGGGAAGTAAAGATAAATTTACTTATATGTTGTCTCAGAAATCCAGGTGTTTGATCAACGGAGGGTTTTTCGTCCGGGGCATTTTTCGCACGCATATAGTGCCTAGATACCATGAATACCATTAAAACGTAGCGCCATTGAGTAAAGTTGATGGCGTTACGTGGCGTGCAAACGAAGACGCATAAATATTCATTTTTTTCTTCGCCAAACGAGGATAGAAGACACGCGCGACCGTGCAAGCCGCAGAGAGCCGTCGTATATATATATATATATTCGAGCGTATGGCTTGCACGTGCATTTTCACATTTCTCGCGGGATATAATATGAATCCTCTGAAACAGTAGAAAATGGCTCGGTAATCGCATCACGGAGAAATTCCTGGTTTACGCTGTAAGACACGGACGAAGCGCTTGCTCGTCGATTAACAATCATAAACGTCGGGATACACGAGAGCGCAGCAATGCGTGAAGGCAGACGCTTTTCTTTGTATACTTTTTTGTTATATTTTTCTTTAGCTTTCACCTGTAGTGAATTGCGAAATATATTAAACGGACAAGCGTACTCCGATTGTTTAATCTCCCAACGCAAGGACATTTTCTCCGACGAGAGAGAAAAAAAAAGATACGCGATATTTCCCACCTGCGACAGTTCCGCGTCGCAATGATAATTGTTTGAAAAAAAAAAGTACAGGGATCGCTGCGTGATGTTTCATGTCACTTTCATGTCGCATCATTTGCGTGTACCTTTTGCGAGAGCACGATTAGCAATGATCGATAATTATCGCATAATTACACGCGCTCTGATATAACATTACGCGGCACCGTCAATTGCTACAGCCGATTAGATTCACGACGGGGAACGATGTCGAAAGTAATTTCGCCCTTTCAGTACGTTACATAAAATAATTTCTCGATGAACCCCCGGAAATGCGAAACTATCGAAACATACGTGACGTTGATGAATTTACGACACACGCGCGTATTAATGTGCAAAATATAATATAGAAATAACCGTTACCTAGTCACGAAGTTAATCTATATATAATTCTATCTATATATAATAATCTATATATATATTTAAAATAATCGCAAATTAAACAAATTAAACCTTACTCTTTTAATTATATATCATTTTTGCTAATTTGACTACTACCGTCTTAATGGCGGCTTTTATTTAAGCTTTGTCCGCGTCAAAAATGTAATACGGTAAACACGCACGGACTTGTGGACACGTGATGCAACGACCGGGAAGTAGAGGAATGTTATCTCGATAGCCGTTACGTCATCGTCGTAAAGTCGCAAGTACTTTGCGATAAACCGAGGCGCTGCGAGGGGAAGTGAAAAGTATATACGAAAAGGCGGTTGCCTTTTCTGTACCCGGAATACAC